TGTGGCCTGATTTTCTGAAGTGCTAAGCACCTCCACATTCCTCTGAAATCAACTGAAATTGTTCTGCACCAATTAAAAGCAGGCCAACGCACTGAAATCCCAAAGATCTTTTTATTTTACTGCATATTAAATTATCACTTCAAAGATTGGGGTTTTACCTTGGTTGAAGTGGGATTACGTGTTTAGCAGCTACAACACAAGATGCTCCATGGAGTTAAATAAAGGTACAAATTTCCTTGCAATTCAGTTGATTTACTTATGTGTTATCAGCATGTGAAAAAAGGGTAAAGGTAATACGCAGGTCACTTGCCAGTGAACTTGGAAGCCAGTATGGACAGGCAGGAACCCATAGTTCCTTCAAATACTGTCATCTTCTGCTTGTAAAGCAGATTCTCAAATTGGTAAATAATAGCAACATTCTCAGCAGTAACTGAAATATTCAAGAGGAGGGAGTTCCCAGAAACAGGCAAACCAAAGACTGACAGCAGTTCTGGCATCATAATGAAGAGGTAATACAACGAATCTCTTTTATTTGAAACCTCAAATGATGTTCCTAACTTGTTTATAAGCCTCTGCTATAATACAATACACTTTTACAGCACAGAATTAATCTAAGAAATTGTAATAGGTTCAAAGACAGTGAATCATCAATTGAAATAAAAAAGGTAATTTCAAGATTTAATCAAGCAGAAAAGATGTACTCTTCATTTGAAAACAGACAATGAATCCTCCTTTGTGAGCGTCTGTAAGTTGAGTTCATGGAAGTGGGTCATGCAAAAGTAATTTTTAAAAAGGTATTTGGAGTCCAGGAAAGTTTTCATTGTGATCCATGACAACTAAACTGCCTCTGCAACTCTGCTGACTCCTTTTATGATCTCCAGTGTATACTGTCACCTTTTCTGACTCGTTCCTCCACTTTCTTGTCCCTCCAACTTCACCTCCATAAAATTATTACGCCGCAACACAATACCTTTTTCATACTTCCCTTTACATTGTGGCTCAGTGGCAAGCTGAGGTAGGGTCAGGAACATAACAATCTCAGCGCAAATCTGTCAGTATAAGACAGCGTGCTTACGGTGCATATCACCTCCTACCATTTTTGCTGTATCTGGAATAAAGCAGCTGGGGCGACTCTGATTTATGGCAGTCTGTGGTAAGTGTGCACAACACACAGGTGCAGAGCGTGCCTATGGACTGGGCACCTCTTCGGATTTAGGGATATTTTTATGCCTCTTTCAGGACAGTCTCATCCTCGAGGGCATTTAGGAACAGGTTCTCTTGGAACTCCCAAGCCAAGCCAGACATTGCCTGGGTTAGGTAGTCACTATAAGGCTACTTTCTCTTGTCCTTTTCCTGAGGCTCTCCTGTCACGTGTTGCTACTTTAGTAACAAGCAAATAAACTGTATTTAGATAAAACATAAACTTGACATGAGTTCAAGATTCATCTATTCATAGTAATGTTCCTCTCCTGTCCCTAACATATCTAACAACTCTTTTAATGAAGGAAATGAATCCAAGCCAGACTATTCCATTCTTCTGCAGGAGTGGACAGCTAGATCAGAGTTAAGTTTTTTCACTGAACTAAGTCTATATGTTAGGAAATATTTTATAAACTATCCAGTAACATGAAACTCAAAACCCTTCTATGCCATTTCTAAAACCTGCATCAACACATTGTATACATCTTCTCAAAATACGACGCTCAGAATTTAAAAGCAACTAACTTGCATAGTTTGAAATGGATGTCATTGGTACAGGTGAGACAAAATACACTCTGTTCTTATTATAGATGCTCATTAAAATTTAAAATGTGCTTTCTGGTTCTATCACTGAATAACATAATGCTTTGTAAATGTTTTCTTGTCACTTTACAATTAATAATTCATTTAACTATGGGCAGCAAAGAGGTAGAAGATACTTCGGAAGCAATACCTGTTTCTGCAAGTGATAAAAGTTCCATTACTGAATAAATACCCAGCATCTATTTATAAGACAGGCTTTAAAAGGCCTCCCCTCAATATTTTGAGCTTATCAAATAAAGCAAAAAAACCCACCTTTAAAGGACATGTTCTGATGCTTCAGAGAAGAGCTTCAGTCCCTGAAAGGTTCACTACGAATTAAGGCGAGTTTCTCTCAGATGCAAAGTCGGCCTCAATCTCTCCAATGAGTAAAACAATGAAGATAAAGATCATTTTGTTTTTTAATTATAGGCCAAGCAGCAGTATTCATTTTAAACTGTGAAAGCACTTGAAATCCTGTAAGTACTTTTGCACAGGAACCCAGTACCTTTTACTGGGGAAGAGAAACGTTTCTGAACTGAGCTCTGAAAAGTTTACTTTGTCAAAGTAAGGGCAGGCGCAGGCAAGGCAGTATTGTAGTGGTGGAAGACTGGGGAAGAACTTCTGCACTCTGAGGGTGATGGAGCCCCGGAACAGGCTGCCCAGGGAGGTTGTGGAGTCTCCCTCTCTGGAGATACTCAAAGACCCGCCTGGACAAGGTTCTGTGCAGCCTGCTGTAGGTGACCCTGCTTCGGCAGGGTGTTGGACTACATGATCCACAGAGGTTCCTTCCAAACCCGAACATTCTGTGATTCTGTGATTCTGTGGTTGAGCCAAAGAATAGTGGGTCTCTCTGTTGAAAGCCACATTATGAATTTCTGGCATTTACTATGGCAGTAGGCATTACATCTAAGCACCATGGTACCTATTGCCGAAATATTTGGAAAAGAATCATTGTAGCTGAGCGAGGCTTATCCTCCTTTTCCCCTCTGCCCTTCCTTTGCCATCTCACCCTACCCCCACCAAAAAACCTGCCTCTGCTTTCCATGTCTAAAAATACATTAAATAGTACTCAGGATTATTTAAAAAACTATGCAAGATGAAAAAAAAATATTGTTACTATTATTTTATATGCAGGGAAGAGAGATGGATTAAGAACATGTGGCAGCCAGCAGTGCTTCCTAGCCCACAAAGCCAGGTATAGCCTTGATCCTAACTTAACATCGAGACTGGGAATGTGCCTCTCTTCTTGACCTTTTCCACCTGCGCCCCAGCTGGGACCTAAGGTTTGCGAGCTACAAGGAATGTGCCAGTCTCCCTGCTTCGGACGACCAGACCCTGAGGGAGTGCTGCAAAGCGCGCCTGCCCTGCTGCTCAGATGCAACAGAAACAACTTCAGGTCACACAAAGTCTGTGGCGATGGTGGAGACCGAACATGGTTATCTTCAATCTCAGTCCAGCACTTCAACCACATGGCAAACTTTCCTATAGTAAAAGTCGTACGCACCCACAGATGCAAAAGACCAGTGGGAACTTCTTTTTCTTTCTAGCCCATCTCCAGAGGATACTCTACTAAATACCGCAGAGAAATACTTGATCATGCCACAGCTGACAAACATATCTTTGAATTTTTTTTTCTGGAACACTTTTTTTTCCACGTGTCAAAGTCTTATATGCGGCTGTCTTCCACACGAAGAGAAAATATTATATGCAAAGGACAACCAACAACGAACAGGTATATATGGGCCTAACGTCTCCATTAAATCACTTTTTTGGGAAAAGACATGGATATCATGTCAGAATTTGATCTTGAAAGTAGACCTACCATACCCCAAGATGCTCTAAGAAGGCTTTACATTATGTTCAAGAGACACCTTGAAGGCTGCTATGATACATTTGCTTTATTTCATTATCAGTGGCACAGATGCTACCCAGTCGCCCCCAGTACCACCACTCTCATGTGAAAGCTGGCGTGTGGAAGCCTGCACTAACACAGCCCACCCTTTCAGCAGAGCACGTATTAGCTTGCCTCAGCTTTATATTAAGGCAACCAAATGATTTCAAAGTCAGATGCTGGCATAAGTATGGCCTGAAGTGTGGATAAACTGACAAGACCACGATCAGCACCTGAGGGAAGACATCCTTGAATTGCTTCTATATTCCTGACTCTGAGATCACTGTATCAATCTCAAAGCACATACAGCTATGTCCATGTTCGCACGTGTGGACGGTCTGGAGCTCAGGTTAAACAAGGGAAAAAAAACCAAGAGCATCGATTTCAGGCTGTAAAGGGCACAGCCTGTTAGTTTCTTTGAAGAATTCCATCCATTGTTTGAGGCACGAGGGACAAAAAAAACTGGCAACCCCTAATCTGAAAAAATGTAATACAACTAAAAGAGGGACAGCAATGAACATTGCTCGTTTGGTATTGTTTGGGGCTTTTTTAATCACCTGCTTATTTGGGATGGATAAACTGACTAGGTTCAGAGGTAATGCATCTTAAAGCTTCTTTAGTACCAGTCTGTGAATGCAAACGAAACTTAGGGATTTCTGTAAATCTCAACCAATGAGTTTTCAATGTTTTCCATCCCCATTTACTGATGTCCTTTACCAGTCTTAAGTAAATAATTTATGGAGACACTTCCCTATTCACATACACGTTAATAGCAAATGATTTTTAGTTTCTCAAGAACATTAACTTAATCATGACAAAGAGTGAGTTCCTTAGCAAGGCACTGCTAGTCCTTAAATGCCATTTTTAAAGTTCAGCACAAGATAATTAACAGACTGAAAATGTCAGCAAAAGATGAGACCAAGATGTTTACATATTTCAAGATTTTGTGAGTAATCACAGGAGTTACATCCTCTGTCAGTGTATGTAGTCCTGCTGATAACTGGAAACTTTGTTATTTGCAAGTTTAGGACTTTTACTGAATTGTGATGATTATGTCATAATTTCTTAGTTTTTTCCTCAGATTAACAATTATATTCAGTTATGACAGTCCTGAAATGCTATTGCAATTACAATATTGATATATATCTGAGAAACAGAAAAATTTTTAAAATCCTCTGAAATATTAAAAAAGCTAATTGTAGACCATGGCATGGCTATGTAAGACATAATCTAAAGAACCATAAAATTTCAGTGAACAACTCTTGTTCACTATTGGCAACAGATTAGGTTGTAGATGGGAAAAATATACATGCTATACTCAAAATATGAGAATTTCTTAATATTTTATTGAAATCAGCATACAAAAGATTTTAAAGGCTATTTCTCAATTGGTTATTTCTAAATATCCATGAAAAAGTAGTGGTTCATGTCCAAAAATCTCCACCATACAGTTACGTATTTCAAGAGCCTTTTGTTTTTCTAATCATTGCTTCAATCACATCCCACTGCTCTTTGGTAACCTAGTAAAAGAAAAGAGCATTTTATTGGAACTCCAATAGTAATTACACATCTAAGTCTTTGTTTGAAAGTAAAATAGCAAGCAAGGAAATTTAATACCTTCTTCAAATCATTGAATTCTCCTGCCATAGAAACATACTCTCCACCATCCATTCTAATAACCTAGAAAAAGCATAAGCAGTGTTTTCTGTACATTCCCTTGTTATGAACTGTGAAAGTAATTTTTATTAATTCATATCAGAAAAAAGCACACTCAAAACAACATAATTCAATCACTTTTCAAAGTTCCTTCTAAAGGTACTAACTACCGTGCATTACAATTAAAAGCGTAATAATGCTTGTAAACAATTTCAAAGTAACAGTTTTTGTTTCATTTCTGAAACCAGGACTTTAAAAAGTCTCAGCAAAACTCAGACCATCATCAGGTTAATTGTATAAACAACATCAACTAGAACTTACTGCTCCATTAACCCAGCTTGCATAGTCACTGCATAAATAGGCAGCAAGATTTGCAATTTCTTCTACAGTTCCCACACGGCCACAGGGAATCCTCTCAATCATATCCTTCTCAAATGCGCCTGTTGGGTCAAGGCGGCTAAAAGCACCCTGAGAATTAAGAGAAATATTTTTTTTGGGGAAAAAAAGTTGTAACTATATCAGAAATTAAAATCCAACAGAGTTGATTCTGCATAAACAACACGGAAGTTCACATTTGTGAGAGTAAACGGTCTACACCATCTTCATCAGCAGGATGAAAAAGAAGCAGGGAACAGAAAACAATTTATCCCTGTTGCACTGATATGCATCTGGTGAGGGTGATACACTGGAACTGAGCATGTTTGGAATACGTCATCCACCGTCTATCTATGAAAAACAAAAGGGGTAATAATCTTTGTTTCCTTAACACCCTTGATAAACACTTGAGGAAATTAGCAAGACTTGAAATTGCTGCATGGACAGGGGAGAACAGGGAGAGGAGTAGGAAAGTGACAGAAAAATTATACACAACACAAAGTAAGTAAATCTGCCAAGAAAAGAAAAAAAAAATCAAGTTCAGTTAAATTGCACCAATGGCTAGAACTCAACTAAATCACTGGAAGTTTTAGTATTTGAACAGCTTAGAATTGCATAGGAAACAGCAGAGGTTTTTTGTTCTTCCTGCTCCTTCAACAAGGAAACAACCTCCTCAGGCAAAATCAGAAATGTATTAGTGACGTTTATGTTAAGTTACTGAAGTTACAAGAGTTAAAGCACACTGTAATTTATGTAATCATGGCTGTACTCACGCCATTTAAGTTTTTAAATGCCAGTTCATAAGCTTAACAGTACTGCTAGAGGCTTGAGACATAAAGAAGAAATGCCATTAAGTGTTTTTCTTCTATTCTTGCCTAAAAATCCACCAGGTACAAGGCCTGAAGGACTTGCGGTCTGATCCTGTAATGTTGTTTCGATATTCTTATAACCCTGCTGATACTGCCACTTATCTTTCTCTACAGTAAAAAAAGGTAAATCTCAGTTGTCCTGTGTACCATTTAATACTGACAAGAGGAAAAAAAGGAAAAAAATTACAAAAAAGAAAAGGAAAAAAGAAGCAACCCTACACCCCTACCCCCAAACCAGCAGAAAAACCAACTGTGAAACATCTTACGCTTAGTAGTAATACCATTATTAGCTGTTACTGCTCATAACTGTAATATTTTGATTCAATATGAAATGGATACTCCTGTATCCTCTTGCAGGACTGCTTTCTTTTCTCTTCCTGTTCCAGCTGGTCTGGATTACCTCTTTCAAACCCTCCAGTCCTCCTTTTCATTCATACCAAAGCTTCACATTTCCTTACTGACTTAAGTTTTTCTCTTTCTAGTTTTGTGATTTTCACCAGAACTAGTGAGATTCTGTTCTCATATACCTAAAAGAGATTCTGAAATTTTGGAATTGATGAGATATTTTGCTTAAAAATTAGAAGGAGAAATAGGCAATTTTACTCCACCAAGTGTAAGAATTCACTTCGCTTGACAAGAATCAACATTAAATATTCAGATACACCATTCTTTGAAACACCAAAAAAAGGTTCCATTTATATTAGTGTAGTAGAAGGGGCACTGGCAGGTTTCAGAAGTTCAACAAAATCTATTTTACAAAAGAATTGTTGAGATATAGTGTGTTCAATATTCCAGCACAGTCTTGATTACCAACGGAATCATACTTGAATTTAACAGTCATAGAAAGGTTGGACCATCCTAAAGTTAAGCCTGTACCACAAAGCATATTCAAGGCTGTTTTTCACTTCATGCTATGTACCTTTGTTTTTATTGGACCTGGTTGAATCACATTGAATCTCATGCCATATTTACTCCATTCAGCTGCTAGAGACCTAAAAATTCATTAACAGAATGCATCAATGTTTTAAACACAGTATTTTAATAATGCTATTCAGAAAAAAAAAAAAATTAAAACTGAATCAAATGTGTAAATATGAGAATTTTCCCAAAACAGGCATTTCTACTTAAGGGTTTGTTTTTTTTTTCTTAACAAAAAGATTTCAGAGAAAAAAAAATCACATTCACAAGCAGAGGAATATCGATTTAATAGGTGCATCATAGATAGAGCAACATTAAGGAGCAATTCATTCTCCCTCGCAAATCATACAGATGATTTTGGCACCTGAACTCCTTGACAAACAACTGTTAGGCCACCATCTTTCTCTGGTAATTTAGACTATCCCACATTTGTAACATTTTCAACACAGCTCTCACATTAGATGTTTTGAAATAATACAAAACATTCCAAAATGGGACCAGCAGAATAATTTTGCTTTATGGCAACATTTTCTCTGGATAAGCAGTACTTCAGATAGATCATCTACTACGGTGAATGAATTAGGTGGGTCATAAAGTCTTTGAAAACTACACACTTCAGCTACAGCTCTACAGAACAGAAATCAACACCATCACTCATCCCCTCATTTTTTTCTGGATGAAAAATTCTAGTTCCTAAAAGGCTGACAAACTATTCAATTCCTTCTGCTAAAGTGCAGAGGAGGATCTGCTATGAAGGACTGCCCTGTAGTCAATAATGATAGAAATCCTTTTGTTAGCTAACATGGATACTTCACATGATAATGTTCTGAATGAAGTGTAACTGCAGACCTTAATTTAAAACAGTGATAGGAAACACATTTCTTTATGAAACTAGGTAGGTGAAGCAACAGTATACTCCACCCAAATCCAAGCACATCTTTTCCTGAGACAAAAGAAAGTGGAAGGCACCACAGACCTCAAAGACTTCCCCTAGTAACTGTATTTAAGTGCTGGTTCGCCTGTGAGAATGCAACAGAATCTGATCATTGAAACTGTAATTTAAACTTTAGACTTGCTATTCCACTTGTCCTTATGATAAAAATCATCACAATAATAGCAGTTAATACTTCATTCTGTAAGAAGCTGTCAGCATACTATTTTCTTGCTAGGATACTGGAGGCTGGAAAGTTCTCCTACAATAAAATGCAATAGGAGGACTATACCAAGTAGCTCCATTTTTATATACCAATTACTCTATCTCAAGGACGTGAAAAGCAGAACATGCATTTTGCTGCATTACTCACTTGCTCATTGCTTCTACACCAGCTTTGGCAGAGGCGCTCGGCAATACAAATCCTGAACCACTCTCTGCATAAATTGTTGTAATAGCCAGGAATGCTGCTCCTGGAAGTTGCAAAAACATTTAAAAAACAATCACACCAAATAAACAAACAATGCATGAAGATCAAACTCTGAACTTAAGGTAAAAAGTGACTTCAGTGGCACAGAAATTTGCAGCTCAGGTTTTAGGGATGCCATTTCACTCTGGGTTGTAAAAAGATATCAGTTCCCTCTTTTCCATGAATGTTAAGAGTTGTTCCATGTAAGTGTAAATAGGTAATGATTAGCCTTCAAAGGTCTAAACCCTCAGACTGACAATGAATTTACATGTGCAAATCAGTCTAACTGGAGCGAAGATCTAAGATCTTACAGTATCTTTTAAGAAGCTGCACTAGCCTAGTAGTCACTAACCAGGTAAACTGCCCTAATTTCATCAATTCCCGGCTGAAATTAAAAAACCCTAAACATCCGCATTAACAATTAGGTTTGGCATAATCTTAAAATGACACAATTTAGGGCTTGAGTTAAAGTTTATGCAGAAAAATGTTTTTTAAAGACATTTTCAGAAGCTTTTTTTGCAGTAAAGCGTATGACAAAGTTAACCTGCATAACTTTTTCCCATTATTATGACAAAAAACTGCACTATAAAAGGATGACTTTCTCTTATATAACAGACTTAGCAAAAGCATTACGGAAAATAATGGAGACTGCAACTGTTTATTTCATCTTTCTTTTATAGAAGCCTGCAAATTCTAACTGTCCAATCTATGACTAGCATGAACTTGCTGTAACTGGGAAATGGAGGAGAAGAGACGACAGTTCACTACTTACACCACAGTAACTAACTGTGCTACTTACTGTGTTTTAAAAACAATTTCATAAGAATGGCTACCCAAGGGATATTTCTAAAACAATATAGGTTACTGCAAGAATGTATGTGATGATGAAATAGACTCAGTTAAAAAACTACTGTAATGTTACACAAGAGAAACTAAAGGGAACCATAAGGAAGCACTGACAAGAGATGCCAGCAGATACCCAGAAACCACAGCCCCATTTACAAAACAGGCTGCAGTGAGACAATTTGAAAAGAAAAATTATTACAGACAAAAAGAACCCAGAACAGCTCTGAAGTTACCTAGAATTGATTGTTAATTACACATTTTGAAGAATGAAACTGCAGAATTTTTGAAACATAGTTTAAATAGAGGTGAGTTGGGTGAATCTAACACAGAAGCAAGAATGACTGATAAATTTACAGCTCTGAAGTTTAAAATACACTTCAGTTCACACACAGTTTTTATTTTTAAAGCCTACATTCATAAAATGGACAATATCTAACCAACTCCTTCCACTTTGAAAAATTTTAGTGCGTAAATAAGTAATGCACTAGTAGATTACAAGTCCCTTTTAGATACCAGTTCATACTTGAAAGTTTAAAAGCAGAGCACTTTTATTATTTACTAAATTAGCTTTAATGTAGGTCACGCTGGAAACCTTAAGGATATGCCAGTGTTCTAGTACCTGTCAGATGCATAGAATCCTCACAGACTGTTCTAAAATATTTGCATCAGGTAGCATCTCCATCATTTCAGAAACTAAGGTCTCTCTGCCCAAACTTAAAAAAACAAGCAAGTAAAAAAAAATGAAGGTGGAGAACGAGACAACAAACAGGTACACTTGATCTACTGGCAACAGCATGTCTTCAAGGAAGCCTTGAACACAAAGACTTACACACAGACAGAATCCCCTAGAAAGAAGGCACGCAAGTAATAGCAAAAGAAATGCTCGTGCTTTGGAAGCTTAGAAGTAAAAGGAAGAGAGACAACATGAAGCTGAAGAACTTCTGGATTTTGACGAATTTGAGGGTGGAAGCAAGGAAAGTTTTTGTTCAACAGCAGCGGAGACAAAGATATTTTTAAAGTCGTATTTCACATTACTATAACTAGATACTGCATGCATCTGGAAGGCCATAAAGCAAACTATTACAATAGTTTGCCATAGGGATACAGTAAGTCAGAGTTGGGGATGGGTTATTGAGATGGGAGTATTAGTACTAGAAGGGTGGAAATGATCATGTGCTGCTAAAATATATGTGGGAAATACAACAGACCAAAACTGTTACAGACTTACTAAAACAACACTAACTCTCTATTGTTATTAAAAAGTATAAAGCCATTGCATACTTTTTGTAGAGGAGTTTCAAAGAAATTCAATTAAGGAGTCACAGAAATACAATGCAAACACAAACGGATTATTTCAAAACAATAGCTGTACCTAGAAAACAGGATTCAGAAGTTCAAGCACGTGGCAAATCAACATACCTCACTGCTTTTAAATGCTACTTGAGATGGTATCATTCTGTACAAAAAATAAGCTCAATGTTTTTCAATTTGTAACTAGAAGATAACATAAAATGAAAGCAGTTCTTTGTATAGAATCTATGACAAACATAGAAGAGCATACATTATCCTTCCTTTAAAGACAATAATCTAGTGAAGTAAATCTTTGGTTATACAGTGTATCAAAGAACTATAATATTTTTAAGGTAAAGCCAAAACATTGGATTAAACTCCTAGGTAGTCTAGAACTAAAAATTATACCCAGGAAAGTAAAGCCTAATACTGGTTTCAATTTCGAATTTGTTTTACAAACTATCTCAAAGGTAATATTCTCTAGTTCTATTAGTCAAATACCACAGCTGTGAATTTTATTTATTTAACTGTAGGAGGAAAATTCAAAGTGATATCCTGACCTGGTGTTCATTTAAATAAATGCCACATGTTCAGTCGCTTAACGAAACCAACACAGGTGTATAGAAGACTCAAGAGAAATAACAGCATACGTTTTAAAGCCTTACTTTCTGAATTTTACAAATGTTTTACAACTAGTACAAACTCTGCAATCAGATTTTTGTATTCGACCTCATGGCCTCTGGGTCCAATTGTAAGGGCAGATTCTACAATGAAGTAATGGCTAGCAAGTTCTACTGTTGTGATATTTAAGCATAGCTTTTACTCAGCATGAAGTTTCTTTCTAGAAAAGATGCAGTGTTAAAACTTGCATTTCTTTTCAAACTCTCAAAACCAGCTATAGTAGGACGGCAAAGAAAGCAAATAATACCATTATGTCACAATGCTTAGTTACCATTTAGCTTAAATTTAAGATACCTTTTTGTACTTTAATGAGTTCCTTTCCGACTTCCAGAGTTACAAAAGCAGTACCATTAAGCACAATATCAGTTATTGTTTTCCAAGCATTAGCAGAAAGTCGTTCAGAAGGGGAAATAAAGTTTCCAGCTGCGTTGTTTATCACAACCTAAAACACAACAAGAAAAGCCTAAGAGTTAACTAAAAATAACTCTTCCTGAGATAAAAGCAAAGAATTTACACAGAACATCTGAGTGTTTCCAGGTGGAAAAGTAAAAATGCCCTCATCAAATGAGATTCATTGGAGAGAGAAAATAATCCATCAGGAATTTTCACACCTCCAGCACAGACACCTATCAGTAACAGAAAACAGGCTGCGCTTCCAAACTCTGTAAGTTACTAGTCTAGTACTGAGGAACTGTAAACGTAGAGGGCAACTTAAGTCGCTGTTTTACATCGTGTCTCAAGTGTAACGTAACAGAAAAATTTGTCCCTACCAAGTTCCAAGGTCACACATATTTAACATAATGGATGCGTGGGAATAAAAGCAAAAGAAGTTCAGGTAACCTGATGACTAAAGACTGTTGCACAACAGGAAGTCTCATCGGTCTCAACAATGAGAATATTATTAGTGAAAAAAAAGCCACTAGAACAAAACTTTTTTTGGAACAGACATATATCTATCACTTGCTGCCTCTCTACAAACAATAATCAGGCAGAGGATATTTTAAGTATATCATCTGCTTACCCCTTTGAGCAGTTAGATATAACTTTTTAAGGGGACTAGGCATCAGATAAGCAGTTTTCAAACCAAAACTCACATGGCTAGATGTTGTGTATTTAATAATAATACAATGTGCTGAAGCAATAAAATGGTGTATTACCTATGGAATGGCACTTAGGTTCATCTAGGTTTGCACATGAAACAAAGTCTGTCCTAAAGAACTTCTTGGGTAAATTAACACATTAGAATTTTCATCAACAATACAGACCACAGCACATACTGCATGAATATAAAACAAATCAAATACAACAGCCATAAATTATACATCTAGATAGTAAATACAATTTAAAGACCTCCCTACAGTTTGAAAGAAAAAAAAAATGTAAACACTTCAAGATACTGAGGAGGTTACTTGAATCACTGAATAAATACAGTGAAGAGACAATAATAAAACTAGTGAACTAAGAACTGCATGATACGATCTTTGACATATATAGACATGTATGACTGACAAAACAATCCATATGACAAAAGAATCATTATTTTCTAACAGGGAGTAGCAGTCTTGGAGATGCAATAAACAAAACAAAGGCAGAATGAACTTCTTATTCAATTTACTTTGCAGTCTCTTTTAAACACACAGAATACGTGAAATTAAAGAGAAACAATATGCTTGTAAAGAACAAGTCATGGGAAGTATTTATTGAGAAAACTACTGGTGTACTAAAAAGGTAGCACATAGGAAAGAGTCTCCTCCCTCTCCACACACACTTAAAACGTGGAGATTGTTATATGCTTTGGCCAAAACCTGCAGTAACTAGTAGTCAAAATAAGATCAGAGTATCTTGTCTACAAATCAGGGCAGTAAGCTGATTTATTCTGTCGGACTGTTACAGCATACAGCTGTGAAAAATGGTTTCTCCACTTCTTACAGCATTTAGAATTCAGCAGGTTCTCTTCCACGTCTATAGGAAGCTATTGGTGAACACAAAGTGTCTACAATGCATGTACGAGCTTTACAACTACAGCAAACAGCTCTAAATCTGACTATCCTTTACATCAGTGCTAACATTCTCATCACATTCTCTACCAGCTAGCAGAATCCGAGCTGTTTCTCTCACAATCAAATCAGAATTTGGTGCCTGTCATTGTTCAGACTCCAACAGTCCACCCTTCTCAAAGCAACAGCCCAATTTTCAAGGCTCTGTGTTTTGTGCCAAACTGTTAAAAAACGTGCTTGGCTTGACTGAAGATTTTTTCTTTGATTTTATGATAACTTAGTTTTGAAGTTGGAAGGTTGTGTATTTTATAAGCTAAGCAAGGACCACAGAAGACGTTTACTATTACTTCCATGCCTGAGACATTCTGTTAATAAGCAACAGGTGTAATTCCGTACAACAGGTGTAAATCGCCTTTTTAGGAGGATTTAAGGCCAATTTTCTGTTCATTTAATCCAAAGAATTCCACCATAACTGTCCCACCCTTTACAAAGAAACTGTTAGTTCTCAGAGTAAGGACAACAACGTTTTGTCGATCTGGCCGCTAAGTATTTTAAGAACCACAAGAACGGAGTAACTAGTCTAACTGAATGTTAGCTTTATGTTGAAGTACAGCCACTTTTTGTCTAGTGTCGCTTTAGATTCCATGAGCTTTCCATCATAGTCATTTTCTTCATACCTACTATGCAGAGTACTCTCAGCAATGAAGACTGAAGCTCTTTCCTTTCACTAGAACACTTACATCAGGGTGTCCTGCCACTTGGATTATTTCAGCAACAGTATTCTTAACTGAAACTGGATCTCTCACATCACACTGGACGGCATGAACCTATATAATAATGGAAAGGCATCTGTAAGACTTCAAAATCATACCACTCAGAAACTAAACAAGCCTACAGAAGCACATAAATTAATAAAAATCCTACAACCATTTAAAGTACGTGAACTAACATATTCACAAATCTGTAAAAATTTACCTTATTCCCTGTTTTGGATGAAATTTCTTCTGCTGTTTCTTTCAAAACATCAAGCTTCCTAGAAATCAATATCAAATCTTACTAAATTTCAATTAAATGCAACTACAATTCAGATTAATAAAATCAGGTGATTTTTTTCTGAGCAAATATAAGCTAAACCTTTAAATATCATTTAATGTCTGTGTGCACATGTGTGTTGCTGACTTTCATGAAAATTGAGCTTTAAGATAAAAACTGTATTTAGTCACTAACTTTCTGAAAGAAAACTATTTAAACATAAGTAATTTCTGGTTACTGCCACTTCAAAGCAACTCAGAAGACTACAATAACAGACTATCTGAAGCTAATTAAACATGTGAAGCTAGAAAAAATATTCTCTTTCTGAGTACATAACCATAACAAACTTAGTGTTCGCTACTACTCTACTGGTATTTCAGAAGGGACACTCATTCAGATTTAAAACTAAACATCTAAGCCACTATTTGGATGAATGTCACAACACTTCTGTTTATTTTGATTAAAAATTAATTGTTTTTCTAGTGTTTACTGTAGTGATACCTAAGAGAACTGTATAAAAGTCACCTTCGTTAAGAGAAAATCAGGGCTGGTTTTAAGGTCGTAAGAATGAAGATGAATGGCTTTAATTCTTTACTGCAATTCAAATCTGTACCAAGAACACCTGCAATAATACATTTAAAATGTTCAATAATGGCTATTTCAAATTCATGTTCTCTTTTAGGCTTTAGTTGAATTTATGTCTAATATTCTGGGTGGTTTATGTCGCTGCCGCATTTCATGGAAATGCATTTAGTTTTTTCCTTCTTCCTGCTGGTTACACCACTAGACACGGGTAGACGGATCCAGAAGTTTCTGGTATTTACAATATGACAATATAATCTAAAGTGTACTGAAGCAGAGTAAATAGAACGAATTTATCCATTTTATGAAGAAGAAAACAAATCTATTCCACTTTCAGCAGTAAATGAAAACTCGACAATGTCTTCATTAATATTTACCGGCTTGCTATAACACACTTGGCACCTAAACTGGACAGAGTTGTGGTCATCCCTTTGCCAATCCCAGTGCCTCCACCAGTTATAAACGCCACCTTCCCTTGAAAGCTATTTGGTGGCAACATCACTTTCTGAAGAGGTGCAAAGAATGCAGCTTGCGGTGCACTGCTGTCTTGATGCAGCACATTTGGCCCACGGCTGAAAAACTGAAAGAAAACAAGAGGACAGTTGTTTTTTTTCTCATTTCTGTATACAGGACTGTTATGCAAGATTAGATTTTCTTATGACAGTGGAGGTAACAACAATAACTGCCTTCTTATAAATGCAATATAAGAATGATTAGGTTGTATTATGCTAAAAGACACAGACCTTCACACAAATACTAATACTAGACTAGAAAAGCACCTGACCTATTTTCAGACATTCCACTCCAACCAGGGAACTACTGAAAAACATAATTTAATCAAGATTTTTGTTACTTTGAAAGTGAGTTATTCTTATGTCTGTCACTTTTACTAAAGTGTGTGGAAAACCATGACTAATTACAGACTGCCAGCAGGACTTTGGTTTCCGATTCACACAGGTACTGTACTTTATGCATAAGAAGTTTAGCCCTAAGCAATGCACGTGATTTTGAGATTACATGTGTACATATTTACAAACACAAAAACTTCAGTAGTAGCTCCAAGGCTTTGATCCTTTACTACTGCAGTCAATGAATGCAGGGGGCAGAATCAAACTCCACGAGACCTGTCCCAGTTGTTACTGGAGCTGCTAAACAAACCAATGCCATCTCCTAGACAAAACTGTGCAGGGTTTGTTTATCAGCTGCAAATGCAAACACTTCTATGTATGACAAAACTGGACTACTTCTATTTTGATGTGCAAAAAATTAGAAGAAGGTAAGTTATATTTATTTTCCTCTAATATTAATTTGTACTTGAGTCTTTAATGTATTTGAGTACAAAAGTTTTAGGAAAGAAGACTGAATGGTTACCCGTGTACGGTGTTAATAAAACCATGCAATTGTTCAATAGGTTGATACGAAGAAGAAAGGTTATTTTAAAATAATAAAAATATTACAACTTAGTGTTCTGTTTATTAACCTTTTCATCACTAAAATTAAGAGACAACAGTTTTACTGGTACCTGAATAATCTGCACACGCCACAGCTATAACCCACAGGGCTGGGTGTTTCACAGAGGTTACAGCTGGCCTGAGAAAGCGTGCACGTGAATCTTGCTGTGTGATAATATACTTGCATATGAGTAACATAGCCGAAAACAGAACGAATAATTATGGAATTACACTGCCTATTTAATGGAGCTCATGTTCCAAAGAAATGATGACACAAAAACTAAGAGCGAAGAAAAGTTGTGGGCACTATTTAGAAGAAAACTAAGAAAGTAAACTCTAGCTTCAGTTTGAGCTTATCACAAAAGTGAAGCAATGTGCCAAGTCCTACGGTATTTGTGTTAAATGTGTACTTTAGGGATTCTTTCTGGACCTTGGACTCTTCCACTACGGTTTCTCACAAAGAAAAAAATAAATCAAAGGTGGTTCTAAGGAATACAAGCACGTCAAATGGAAAATACAAAGAATGTCACAACATTTTTCTGAAAAAAAACCAAAATTCTAGAGATCAGCTCTGCCAGCAAATGTCTGTAAAATACCGATGATTGTTTTTTAATTCTCCCAATTAAAATAAAATTTGCATATTTTCACAGAGTACCAGAATACTATTAAACCTCCAGGAAAGGAGTGTGTGAATACTCTCTTTTTGGTCTTTCTTAGTAACCCCCTACTCAACTTGTCTCTCTTTTAGGTATGCAAGGAGAGAGAAGGGCTCCCTCTGGAGAACTCCAGCTGGTGGCAGAGACTGCAAATCAAGACAGCATTTGGACTCCCTTTTCCTCCAGTATAAGGAGACAGCTGGAGATAATCCTGACGCAGCAGTGAGCCTCCCTGATCAGGTGCTCTGTTAAGTGACGGACACAGCCTGCTCCTCTTCAGGGAAGTGGTGGAGTCCCCATCCCTGGTGGTGTTCAAAGAACGTGTAGATGTGGCACTTCAGGACATGGTTTAGCAGGCGTGGTAGTGTTGGGTTGACGGTTGGACTTGATGACCTTAGAGGTCTTTTCCAACCGATTCTGTGATTCTCTTGCTCACCACTACAGACACCCTGCACCAGGACTAATCAAGTACTGTAATGATATTACGCAGCTGACAGTGTCGGTATAATTCAGCAATCTCTTCACAAGACTGCTGTCGCGTTGTTACTAGCTCGCACAAGGTGCTTCTGTGCCAGGATTCACTCATTTAATCATTAAGGCCAAGGTTTTAAATTAAACCTCAAGTGTAAAGACAGACATAAAGGAGCCAGCACACAGCATTTAAAAACAACCAAACAAAACACGAACAGGCCAAAAAAACGACCTCCATCGAGCGGGTGGAAAGGGATCATGGAATCACCGCAGAAGGCCTCCTGGCAGCACACA